GTGTGGTTAAACGCACTGGTCCCAGGTTTGATTCCCCAGTTGAGCACTTGTGATTTAAGTGGGGGCCATGGCGGTGGGTTGCTGTGCTAGTCTCCCCCAATGAATAGTCGAGGTGCACGCAAGCTGGCCCGGATACCTCGGTTACCCAAAAAAAAAAAAAAACAACACCGTTTAACGCATGATTGCCCCAAATTTAGCCTCTTTTTCAAACCCTAACCTCACGATGGATGATTTGTGGAAAAATTCAGCCTCTTCCTCAAAACTTAATCTCCCAACCATTGATATGGGGCAAAATTAGTAAATGAAACTTGCAATAGAGGTCAGCTACTACTTATTTTGTGTGATTTTGTGTCACCAGAATTGCGATTTTTACAGTGGAATTTTGAGGATGGATAGTAGCAAAGAGCTATGATAAAGGTTCAAATGCTGAGAAAAAGAATTATAGCAAGAATATGTTCAGATTAAGAGAACGAGGGACAACTAGTTGTTAGTAGTGATGATGGAGCCGAGGGACATGACGGCGAGGTAGACGACAGGAAAGGAGATGGGAGTTGGGGGAGAGGAGGAGGAGGATGACGTCGCCGTTGCACATGCCTATGGCGAAGAGTTAGGAGGCGAGGGAATCGACGGAGCGTCAAAGCTCGCGAAAGGGGATGTGGAGCCGCATGAGAACATGAGGAGATGAAAGTGGTGATGTCGAGGGAGGGATTGGGGGGAGCAAAATGGGTTGCGCTTTGTTGTAGAAAGAAGTCGATTTGGAGTGATTTGGTCGCCATTGAATATGAATCTTGACTCCTTGGGAATTTGAACTTCAAGCCAAGCGATCTCTGTTCCGGGATTAGAGAGAGAAAGAGAGAGTTTTAAGGTCAGGTCATCGTCCACATTGGACTACCTATGCTATAAAAAAAAGTCACACAAACATTAAAATTTCTATAAAAAAAAAAGTCAAGTGAGACGAATTGTCGGAATTTATCGCTAGAGACACTTAAGTGATCATTTTCCCACCGAAATGATATTGAAGTGATCCGTCAAAAAGTTGCGATACCAAAGCGAGCGCCATATGAATATTATGTGACACTCCTAGTGTCTTTTTTCTGACTTGGTAATGAGCGTGTCAAAATGAAAACGGAAATTACGGATGGGTATCTGATTTTTTTTATTTTTTTGTTAGAAGTGGGTGCGTGGGGATACTAAATGACAATTCACAAATTATGTGTGGGCGAGAGACCCAATTAGTGAGAACGATGACAAAGCCAAGTGTGTGGTAGGAAGGAGCTCGATGCGCGAAACGAAGTCAAAATGTGATTTTTGTAGTTCCGGAAAAAAAGAAGAAAAAAGGAATTTACAGTCGTTTTCGTTTTCCAAAAAGTCTCAAATGAACAACCAAATCGTTTGACCCCCAAAAAAAAAATATAACAAAAAAAAAACAGAACAACCACGTCGACGAACACGCGTGACTTTGACCCAGCGCCAGCGGACAAAATCCCCTTCACGGGGGTTGGAAAGGCCGTCGTCCTCCCTCAAAAACCTCATTCGCTGAAAAAAACGCAAAATCATATAAAAAAAAAAGAAGAAGAAAAAACAGAGAAACGAGACTTTGGGGCTGAAGCTTGTCTCGTCGTATCGACACCTCCCGACCGACGGGGGAAGCCAAACACGTCACGTCGTTTCGGGTCGGGGGGATCTCCTCTGATGTGACCGGGGGAAAGGGATTGGGGTTGGGAGGGGACGCCATCAAATCGGAAAAAGATATTTTTCTTCGGATCCCTGACGTGTGTTGTGACTTTCAATTTGATTCGGGCAAGTAGTGTCCGAAAGCGTTGAACTTTTGAAGTCACGTCTCTTCCAGCGTTTTGCTTAGCATGTAAGCATTCCCCGGGTTCTCCCTTGCTGTTCCTCGTCCCCTCCCCCCCGCCCACCGCGTGGGAAGCTTGTCCCTCACGTCATGGTCCCATAATTCAACGGCGAACTGACCACGCGAGAGATCCGCGCCAATGACACGGGGTAGAAAGACCAAGTGGATGCCGTTTATTTGGCGAAAAATAAATAAATTTAAAAATATATTTTCTTAAAAATAATCACTCGTATCGTATTGAAATAATTAGTCAATGAATAAATATTTTCCACTATCGACATTAATTTTTTTGTTAAATGTTTTTCAGATCGTTCGTTTTTCAGCGAAGCAAACGGTGTCTGTAATAAAATTCCCACCTTTTTTTCTTTTACTTTTTTTTCCGTCATTTCGGTTATTGAAAATGTATATATTTACCTTTCAAAACCATATCAAATTTATGTCGAGATTAGACTCCCTCCAAAATTTGTCTTTTGATTGTATTTTAGCCCTCTCTAGCCATGCGTATGAATATGGCATTGTAATTGGGACAATAATCTATAGAAGAACCTAATTTCTCTTTCTTCTTTTTTCCTTCATACCAAACATTCAAAATTATTTTGGATAAATAAAAAACGGGAGATATGAAGCAAGATAAATGTTTACTCCTGAATTATATATTCGTAAATTATTTTCCCTCGAATATCCTCCCTTGAATAATAAAACTAGATAAGTCATCTGTCCCTTGGGGGCAAAGTCGGAATTCGAGGAAGAATCTTATGGAATATTCTAACTCATAAATAGCATGAGGGATCTGGGATAGATTCGAAACAAATTCGAAAGAACTGGTATTTATATGATTGGTTTAAAACGTTGGGATAAAACTGTAGAAAAGGATGGGATTTATTTTGTCACTTGGTTCGGGATATAATGACTTAAAAGAAAATGAACCAATACTTCTAATATACTTATCTTTTGAAACTTAATATTAGCATTTTACTTAAGCTTTAATCGATTGAAAACAATAATAAAAAAGAAGCCTTGTTACTGCATAAACATCTCTAATACTTCATGGCATCATAACTGCTTAAGTATATTTAATGGACAAATGAGACTTGAGGATACAAGGGTTGATTATATAATTTAGGGTTAATACAACGAAAAACCCCAAACCCGTACACCTATAACAAATTTACTCAAAACTAATTTTTTTTATCACCAAAAACCCCAAACTGGTATATATGTGATAATTTTACCCTTTGTTAGTTTCTGTTAAATTTTACTGTCAAATTTCTGAGTTTGATGACACGTGCCAGTTGACGGGTATACCAGTTTGGGGTTTTACCCTGTGTTTGTCACAGGTTTACCCATTTGTGATTTTTTGTGATATTAATCCAATTTAACGGAAGGGTAAATTTGTTATTAATGTACCAGTTTGGGGTTTGTGGTGGTCAAAAAAATAGTTTGGGGTAAATTTGTCATAAGTGTACAAGTTTGGGATTTTTTGTGATCAAAAAATTAGTTTGGGGTAAATTTGTCACATGTGTACCATTTTTGGGTTTTTCGTGGTATTAACCTTATAATTTATAGTATGAATTCATGTTAGTTAACTTGTCTAAAAAGTGTGGGGGCAAAAATGTAAAAGTATCTGTGTTGCATATCTCTATAAATAATGTTAGTAATATATATATTTTTTAAATTCGCTGATTGTGAAAGCTACATTTTAGAAAATCATTGTATAATTATACACAGACAAACGTTAGAATCCAAGCAAATGAAGATTTCATCGATTGTCGTTGTATAAACATTTTTATTTGTGGAGTACCAACCATAGTCCTTTTTCTCATTGAATAAATTATGGATGTTGAATTGATCTATTTAACAATGAAATTCAAGGTTAAAAGTATTTAAATTTGCTTTTGAAATTCGCAAACCGGAAAAAATTGAGAATTGGCTTTATTATATAGACTGCGTATCTAAGATAAATACAAAAAGTGGAGTCCTTGAGAGTATCCAACAACTTTAACTCATTTTCAAACTAAAAAAGAAAATCAAACTAAATTCCTAAACACGTCACATCATCAAATTCTTAATCATCACCTTTAATGTACACAAATTAGTCTACAGAATCAATTAAATAAATTATGGGGTACACCATGAGCGACTATTTTTTTTAAAAATTTGGTGATATTCAACTCTTGATAAAAATCTGACATATCATCATAGATACCAATTTCGTCAATCAATTTTAATAAGCATAATATTATTTTTTGAAATATTTAACAGATCATATAGAAAATTTTTATAGTGTAAGAATGTGGAGCAGTCAACCAAAATCCAATGTATTTTCCCGTCTTGAAATGGTACCGAGAGAATATAGTGTTTACAATTTCTTTTTCTTTTCTTTTTTTTCGTTTTTTCGTAGTTTTACCTAACGAAAACTTAGAAAAGGAAAAGAAAATTTGGACTTTAGAAAAATGTGAGCATCAGGGAACTATCGGAAAGAGCAAATTACTGAAAAAATCGATATTCATATGATACGCGGCTCGTGTATATATATATATTTTTACACTATTCATCTTTATCATTATTGATCGAGTCATTATAACTTAAAGAATTGATGAACCGTCGAAATCTATAACAATGGATGTGGGTTGTCTTAGAAAATAAAAATGAACGGGGTTGTATTTAAAAAGGAAAATTCTAAACGCCTTTATTTGAAACTATCACGGTTACTGCATGCCATTATTTGAAATAAAATTCATTTTGAACTTTTTTTTGAGAAAATGAGGATACTTCATGTCTTTATTTGAAATTTTCCCGTATTTAAAATATCTCCTCTACGGTTTTTTTTTTTTTTTGGAAAAACGATGGTGGAAAGAAAATGAGTGGAAAATATTTACCAAGACCGGCGTTTCCTTCCTTGAAGGGCTCAGCCTCTTCGCATGATAGAGAGAGAGAGAGAGATTTCTCTCTCAAAAAGCAAAGAGATTGTTCAGGAGAGAGAGAGAGAGAGAGGAGACACAAACACGAATCAGGAGAGAAAAGGTGGTCGACAAGGAGGAAAGAGCAGCAAGAAAGGTGAGAGAGATTCGATCTCTGACACACTTTCTTCCACCACCCTTCCGCCATCTTCCCACGGATCCCGATTCGGAGGGAGGGAGGGAGGGGGTGGGCGATGCTTCCGAAGGCCCCTTCTCTCTTGCATTCCCCGTGTCTCCCCGTTCATTTTCACGAGACTTGTCGGATTCTAGCCGTGTGCCGTCCGTGCCTTCGTTGTCCTCGCTTGTCGTCGTGCTAATCACCTCTGCACCCTTGCTGGGTAATGTCCGTTTCGCGAGGTGTTGTTCGAATTTGGGTCGTGAGCTTCACGGGCATCTCTGCATTTGGATTCCCCGTTTCATCGTCGTTCTTGATGATCCCTTTGGATCGTTCTCTTTGTAGCTGGGTTTTTAGGGCATCGTCTGGACTTTCAACTTGAATTTCTGTTCTGGGATCTCTCGTTGACCACGGGGGTTGGGAAATTTGATCCCTCGATTATAATAAAAGCAAGAAAATTTGCCTTGCGGGTCTGGCGTTCTCATTATCTTCTGTTTTGATCTCTGCATCTATGGATGAAGTTACGCACATCTGATTACGTATGTATGTATTTTTAAATTTGTAATTCTTTTCAGGGTTTGTGTCTCCTCTCAGTCAGCACAAGAGTCATTGCTCTTGATCAATCAGATGGAGCATGGTAGCCTAAACAGCTGGATATGGGATGGAGTGTATTACCACCCACATCTTTTTGGTGGACTCATGCTGACAGCGGCTATGCTTGGCTTGTCTACAAGCTATTTCGGAGGCATCGGGGTTCCGTCATTGCCATATTTGTGGTCGGATGTGGGCATTTTCCACAAGAAGAAGCGCGGGAAGAAGCGCGTTCGTGTTTACATGGACGGATGCTTTGATCTGATGCATTATGGACATGCTAATGCCTTGAGGCAAGCAAAGGCCTTGGGGGATGAATTGGTGGTGGGAGTTGTCAGCGACGAGGAGATCATAGCCAATAAGGGTCCCCCAGTTTTGTCCATGGAAGAGAGGTACTTGTTCACTCAGAGTTATTGACCTTACTTGAACATGTGTTGTTGACCTTACTCCTATGCCATACTCTGATCAGATTTGCTGTTTTTTCAATTGTTTCTGTTCTGAATTTTTGCTGATTAAATATAGATAACATATTACCACCATGGTAGTTGGTCTAGTGGTAAAGGGGTTTCCTTGTCTTCCATGAGGTCATGAGTTTGATTCACGCTGTGAGCGAACCGCCGAACAGCTCGTGTTGCGTTGCCTAGCTGCGGCATATCTCGTGTAGAAAGACTTCTCAACTCCTAGCATCGTGGGATTTGGTGACTGGCTTGCCAATCTCAGACCTTCGGGTCGCGGGTAATGCAACCGGACATTTTTCGGAGGACGTAGGACCCTTGTGGAGATCCCTAGTGCTGGTTGACCTACCCCACCCTTGTACTAATATGAAAAACTATTCTTAAAGCGAATCAGTTTTTGGTATGAGTGATATAGGGGGCTGAGATGGTGAAATTTTCCTCTTCTGTGGTTCTTTCTTATCTATCTTCTTCAAAATTTTCCCCCGTACTCTTGTTTTTCTACTGAAACTTTTTCTCTCTTCCGGTGATTCCTGAAATGTAATAGAAAAATTGGAGCGTTGGAGGTGCTCGATTGGCCATTAGTAAAGTTTATAGCCCTGAAGGACATCTACAATTTGAGAGTTTCATCTTGTGCATTCATTTATCATTTACATACTTCCATGGACATATCTGTGGTGCAATTGGCTATAATTTATGCTCGTAGATAATTAGGTGTCACGCAGTCAACAGATTGGTCTGTTTGGTAGTAGTATGGAGCTCATTCTCTTGTAATCTTGAAATTATTCTTGTCTAATCATGATGTTTCTAGGCTTGCACTTGTTAGCGGGTTGAAGTGGGTGGATGAAGTTATACCAAATGCTCCTTATGCAATAACAGAGCAGTTTATGAAGAGTCTTTTTAATGAGCATAAAATTGACTACATTATCCATGGCGATGACCCTTGCCTGCTCCCAGATGGAACAGATGCTTATGCCTTGGCAAAGAAAGCCGGACGTTACAAGCAGATCAAACGCACTGAAGGTGTCTCCAGCACAGATATTGTAGGTACTATATCTGCTTAATCTTTCTCCCGGCATTATTGAAAGGAAGTGCTCTTTTAAGATGAAATACATGGTGTTTCCTAACCATGGTTACTCATTTTATGCTAAAATTTCAATGCATAAGTAGCAATATATTAGCAAATGATAATGCTAGAGAGCAGAATTAGGTTCTTTGGCTTTTGTAACACGAGAACCTTTGCTTGTAATTTGTCACCGTCATGATACAACTTAGCAAGTTGCAATTGTTTATATGCTGGAAACGAGAGTAAAAAGCGGGTGGAGAGAGAGAGAGATGAGGGAGAGACTTTGGTAGCTGCCGAGGGCAAACCTCAATTGTAAATTCACTACATAGTCCTCTATACGTGGTAAAGTGAGTTAGGAATTATTCTATTTTTTATGCATCCTTTGAATCTATTCGAAACATCACATGAGCGATAAGTCTAACTGAAGGTTGGAGATTCGACATTCAAAACCCTTAAAATGGATAAGCGTTGAGGCCTTGAATGACGTAATATTTGCCATAGTCAAAGCATCCTAAGATGAGGACGTCGAGCATTGATGAGCATCATTTTGAATATCTTGAATGACATATCAGCAAGCAACACTTCCCTTCTTGTCTAGCCGCAACAAAATATCATTACATGCAGGTTTATGACAAGAGAAAGATAATTTGGATACTCTTTCTTTGTTCAAATTATCCTCTTCTGCTTCTGCTCATTGTCCCTTTTCTAGTTTCAGAATTCGTACTTGTTATTTCTTATCTCTCTTTTTTAATGCAAGCTAACTGTTCACTTGTAGGAAGGATTCTTTTATCTTTAAAGGATACAGAACGCGACAATTCTTCTTTAAACGGAGAGCACCATGAATCTATATCAGAGGATGCCCACATTTCCCAATTTCTACCAACATCCCGCCGCATAGTACAATTTTCGAATGGAGAGGTAAGGGCCATTTCTTTGTGAATCAGATTATTCTATTTCCTTATAGACTTTCCAAGTCTATTTCACCTCCTTGTTCTGCCCAGGCTCGGCAATACGTGTGATGTCTCCGATAGTCAATATTCCACCCTACATTAAAATCAATGCTTAACCCTTTAACTGTCAATCTAATTGGTAGAATTCTCTTTCAGTTCAACTTGCAAAAGTTCTGTTGCAATGCTGGTGGTTATGAAGCTAGCATGCAATGAGATTTGCTTTCTATCTTTTGATGCTGGTATCTTTTACACCTCAGGGTCCCAGTACAAATGCTCGTATTGTTTACATCGACGGTGCATTTGATCTCTTTCATGCTGGACATGTTGAGGTAATTTGGAATGTTATGCTTATACTAGTGCTCCTGTTTAGTGTTGTCGTTTATACCCCACATATTACCAACTGAAATTTTGACTAAACTACAGCAAGGAATTGCTTCCTTAAAAAAAAAAAAGAATAAAAATTGTATCAAGAACACTTCCAAGATAGAGTTACTGTGGGATTCACCTCCGCGATAAGCTCGGGAGGACCTTGGCCATTCTCCCCTCACGTAAGCCTGGACTAGCTTTTCTGCTTACCATGCACATCCTAGTACAGGAATCAAACTCAGAATCTTCTAGTTTTCTCTATTTATGTCGATATTAGAAAGAATGGCCATAAAAGATGTTTAAATTTTAATTTTGCTGCTATTTTTGTGCATTCCAATGATCTTTTCCACTTTTTTGTTGATCAAGGTGATGTCATAGAAGTTGAGTGAAAAAATATGGATTAACTGAACACGATGAAGCATCAACATCGGTGTTCCATATAATATGGGTATTCGAATATGTTTTACCTGGTACTTTGGCCTTGATCTAATCTCTTTAAAGTTCATGATTTTGGTCAACCTGAATGTGGTTAGCTAAACATTCTTTTTCTTCGCCAAAAACGAGAAAATATAAACATTCTTTTCTTCTTTTGTAATTTATGGTCAATTCCCTTGTTGATCATGACTGGCGTTTAAGCAGAACAGTCATGATGATTTATGCAAATCAAATCAGACTCAAGGGTGAAAAATTGGGGTTTAAAGATTGAATGCTGTCAGATCGCATCCACTGGCCTTGATGTGACAATTCGTACGCTTGGTCTGGCAATTCCAAGCTCCATTGAAGTTTGTAAATTGTATTCTGTTTTGTTATACCTGGAACCAAGTCATTTATATCTCATACATTCTTGCTCAGATCTTGAAGAGAGCCAGACAACTCGGGGACTTTCTCTTAGTTGGTCTCCATACTGACCACACTGTGAGGTACCATATGCTTGACTTTTGTTACCATTAATTCAATTAGCACCTAAACAATGGCCTTTATTTCTTTTAATATTAGCTATTTGAGGAACATTATGCAATTTAGTACATTCTGCAATAAGTGATATGTGGGGAGTCAATTAAAAGGTTTCGCTTTTTTTTATCCAGTGAACACAGAGGGAAACACCACCCGATCATGCATTTGCATGAGCGCAGTCTCAGTGTTCTAGCTTGTCGTTATGTTGATGAAGTCATCATAGGTGCACCTTGGGAGGTCTCAAAGGACATGGTATGTAAAATATTCTTCTATGTATGCCCAATTTCCATTAGATTATCCTTTAATTGCGTATTTTTTATATTTCTTTCAGTTATTCGTAGTTTCTTCTCTCTATTTTAAGTGGGTAAAAGAAATATAAATGTTGCAAAAGTTGACGCTTTAGTCAGTTGAATGTTCAAATTGAGGATCCTACCTGCACTTTAGCATTGACAATGTTGCGATAACAAATAACTTTTTTTGGTGATGACTTTGACATCTTCGAATTTACTCTGTTCTTTGTGGACTCCATCGATAGCTTTTGTTGGTGATGACTGAAACCTCTCTGAATTTTACTCTGCCAGTCCTGAAGTCCTTAATAAATTTTGTTGGTGATGACTACAACCTCTTTGAATATTATCAATCCACCAGTCCTGAACATCCGAATCGAACATACTTTTGGAGTAGTGAACAAGAATCTAGTTGTACTTAGTGGCTTTTAGTCTAGGTAGTCATAATCACTTTTCTCTAAGATCGGTGGGAGGATCATAAAATGGAATCTTTAAGACGAAAGATTTTCAAAGTAAATAAATCATTTAATCCTATGAAGAGTGTTAATGTACTTTGGACAAGACCATAATTGATTTGATACGTTATGAACGGTTATCCATGAAGTAGTTTAGCTACAAACCCAAACTCAAGAGTCAAGATAATTTGACCACCACTCAGAGAAGCATGAAATAGAGCTAATGGACTATAATAATGAATATTAGAAATTAAAAAATGAGTAAAAAAAGATAATTCTCCATTCTATTTTTTGAACTCAGTTAATGACATGAAAGTGAGGCGCAAGGATTAGCCCCATTTAGGCTAGTTTAGATAATGTGTTTGTTGACTTGGCAATGTCCATAACCTTTAGTGAAGGTTTCGAGTTTCCTCAATTTTGGGAGAGAGAACATATTGTCATAGAGTTCTGAAATTTTTGGGGCCACTTCAACATATTAAAAGGAATTTTGTCTTTTTTAACTCATCTACATCTTCATCGGATGTGCATGGTTCACCGTTTCACTAAAAAATCATTCTTATCTTTATCTACTTGGGCTCTCTGTTCAAGTAACTAATAAGTAAAAATAGCCCAAAACCGAAATCTGTTGTAACACAATTGTCGCAATTTTATCACTTCAATGGCTCAACTCTCAATGTCAAGCACCATCTTATCTACTATATGACTTGTGAATGAGTTGGCTTATTCCAGCACATTTGAACGTAAAAGAGTATAACATTATGATTTGTGAACGAGTTGGCTTATTCCAGCATATCGGAACGTAGAAAGAGAGTATAACATTAGCTTCAATAATGTGTACCATACGTCAATAGTATATTGTTGTGATTTGGTCCGTATTATTGTTATCAGTGCACTATAATCGTAATTTTTTCTGTTCAAGTGCTTTTCCTCTTCACTTTATGAGCCATATCCTACTTGGTGCTTTGGTTGATGATATAGTCACCCCAGTTGGCTGCTGAATGCTGTAGCTTTGGAACTGCTTGTGTTCACTAGTTCAAATTAATAAAGGGTTCAGAATCCTTGATATTTTCTTATGTCAAAATAATTGGAGCTTTTGGAAGTTTTAGAATCGTTTGATGTATAAGTCTACTCAAGAGATATTTTCTCAAAGAAGTAATTCTTCATTTGAATTATGGGCTAAGAAGTTTGTTCTGCATTGAGTTGGAACATGGGTTTTATCAAGTCCAAAATGAGAATCAGACCCGAAAGCAAAAGACTCTGGATTTCACATGATGTATTTATAATTATAGTTGCAAAGTTTTTTTTTTGTGGTAGTGAAAAATGCAATCTTCCATGATTACGCAACTTAGTTGAGAACTATTAATTCATGATACAGTAGGATTCATGTTTCCTTTGTTTCATGTCCCTCCTAATATTTTAACCTGATCAGATAACAACATTCAATATATCCTTGGTTGTGCATGGCACAATTGCTGAGTCCAATCCTTTGTCTCCTGTAAGTTGTTATGTCCCCTTTTCGTTTCCAACCTATGCATTAGATTCATTATTGAAGCGGACTTGTCTTGCGTTATGCAGGTTGGAATTGATCCATATGCTGTCCCTAAGTCAATGGGAATTTTTCAGTTGCTTGAGAGCCCAAATAGCATAATTACTTCTTCGATAGCCCAAAGAATTGTTGCAAATCATGAGGCTTACTTGGTATGCTCTCCAATCTTATTGTTCTCTTTGCATGCAATGTATACATGCAATGTTCAATCACTCTTGGCTCCACTATTTTCGTAGATATTGTGTTCGATATCCCTGCCTTGCCAAATTTTGTCCCCCTTTCTGTTCCTATATGTACTTACCAGGAAAATGAAATCCTGTCTACGTAAGGCTAAATTATCTGTTAGAGTAGGGAGTAGTTCTACTGCCATGGGATATTAATTTGGCAAGAATGGTTTAGGATAGCGAACAGAGAATCATTATATCACTAACTGGCACCTAAAATTCTTAAGAGGGTTACTGCTATTGAATATATGTCAAGTCACTATATTCGGGAGCTCGCTAATAAGATTGGGTAAATACAATGTAATCGTAGCTGGTGCTTTACTGCTCTGTTCAGTTCACATACTTTTGTGTTTAATCTTTTAGAGTACTAATGTAGCCAACCTTTCTTTTCTAGAAACGCAATGCGAAGAAGGCACAGAGTGAGAGGAAATATTATGCAGAGAAGAAGTATGTATCAGGCGATTAGCTTGGATTATCGATTTTGGTGGTTAGTTCAGTTGTCCACACCTGCCAACCTTAACCATTTTAAGGATGCCTATTGTTATTAAAGATGAGAGATGTAGTTAGCACATATCTAGATTTGTGTACCCAAAGATGAAGAGATGCAATCAACACGTACCTAGATGATAGGAGAATAGAAGACTATACAACATTTAACTTTTGTCCGCACTTCAATCTTCAGTGTTTGTTCATCTTGTTGTAACAATATTCAGAGCAGAGACAACATATCAAATTGATCTGATAATTCATTTTGCATATTCATGGTCACTCCTTCAGTCCTACAAATGGTTCTTGTTATATTCCAAGTCTGATGCAATTTTGTGGGTGGGGTGCCCGCTATTTTTCGAGAGGTTATTGCAATCTAGAATGATCTTGAGTGATATGTATTTTATCGTGAAGGTTGAGTTATATTTATGATGTTCTAAATATCAGTGGTACTTCTTAGATGCTTATTCACTTTGGTACATGTTGTATGAGCTGAATTTGACCTTCCAAAACTCTAGAGCTAAGAATTGGATGCTTATAGTTATATGGTGGTACTTTTTAGATGCTTGTTCACTTTCGTACTGTTCAGATGTTGCTAAGTTTGCCATGTAAAAGGTTGGAGCACAAGTTTTACAACCCTCTTTTGGATTGTACTGTGAACAAATTGATTAATCACTATAATGGGATCCGGAAATGAATGTTTGGGTGCATTTGTTTTATCGAAAATTTCATGATAAAGGAAAATATTATCCATGAAAATCATTTTCTAGAAAAATAGTGTTTTCATTTGTTTCGTGGTTTATTGTAGGTGATTTCTTTTTTGCCAGGAGGGGAAGTTATTATTCCCAATCTAAGCTTGTTAGTTTTAGTCCATGGAAAACTTTTTGGCTGATATTTTCCGTTGGAAAATCGAAAAATAATTTTTCAAAAACAGTTTTTTTTTTCAAACAAACAGCTTAAGAGGTTCGGGCTTTTCTAAAAAATTCCTTTACATTCCAAACTGAAAAAAGTATAATGCAAACTGTATTTATGATTTGCAGCACGACAAATATGGTTTTATAGAAGGAAAGGTAACTTAAGCAAGAGAAAGGTATAATACAAATTAGAAAGACGTTGTACGGACAAGAAAGTTTCTTCATGAAATTGAAAGTTACGTTCCAAACGTTACTTACAACAAGATGAGAGATATTACTACTTGAGGAACATATTGGGAACATATTGGCAATGAACGAAATTCAAAGTTTTCTTATGAACGGAAAGAAAAAATTCGAATTGAAATTCTCTCCTGATTTAATTTAGAAGTATTTTATTATTTTCATCTAGTTTTTTTCTTTATTTTTTTCTTAGTTCGCCGTGATGCTCTTCTCTGATCGCGCGTATGTTCTGCTTCCATCGTTAGAAATTAACCCGATATATACATATAGTTTATTGTACAACCAAACTTCTTGGTACACCTAATCCATTCTGTCCTCAACTAAATGAAAGTTTGATCATTCTGCGTAAGTAACTTTTCTTTAATGTCCGTGAATTACCGACACAACCAATTTTGTGAGTAACCCGATAAGTACCGATAGTGCATCGTACAACCAAACTTCTTAGTGCACCTAATCCATTCATGTGCCAAAGGAAGCCTAAGGGTAGAACCAAAATTAGATAGAGCGGATGATCTCTGGCGAAAGAAATCGAATAAAAAAAATGATGTCAGGATACGATCCCCTCCACCAAAAGTTCCATCTTTTGTGTAGCGGCTAGCATGACCGTCGATCCATAGAATGGTGAGCCGCAAGACTTTCTGTTTTTTTGAGTTCTCAACCGTTTTCATTTTTGACTCTATGTTTTTTTTCTTCTTTTTTTCTGTATTTGACTTCTTTGTTTCCTTATTACAAGCTCAAATTGAGAGATAAAATCATAAGAGAGCCCACGGAATAAATTTAAATTAGATACTGAAATATAGATAATTACAAGTAAAAAAATAGGTTTAATATCACGAAAAACCCCAAACCGGTACACCCGTGACTAATTTACTCCAAACTAATTTTTTGACCATAAAAATCGTGATAAATTTACCCTCCGTTAGTTTATGTTAAATTTTAATATTAAATTGTTGAGTTAGATGACACATGGGAGTTGACAGGTGTACCGGTTTTAGGTTTACCCCCGTGTGCCATAAGTGTACCGGTTTGTGATTTTTCGTGGTATTAATCCAATAATAGAGGATAAATTTGTCATAAGAGTATCAGTTCGGGATTTTTTATTGTCAAAAAATTAGCTTGAGGCAAATTTATCACTGTCGTAGCAGTTTTGGGTTGTGGGCGGTAAAAAAAAATTAGTTTTAGGTAAATTTATCACGGGTGTATCAGTACGGGGTCTTTCGTGATATTAACCTAATTAAAAGATGAGAAAAGATTTAAAACCTTCACCTCGCAACTAATAACAAAATCATTATGCAATGGATCGGCCTCGACTAACCAATTTACATGATATTTGCACACGTGAAATAATTCAACACATGCATGCAACACGTGGAACCCTTGCTCTGTATTTCTTGCACACGAAAATTAGCTCCCGTCCGATGTTCTCAGCACGAAGTTAGATGGGGACACAGATCCGGTCGGAGACCACAGGCGGTCACCATCGTTCGTTGACCTGCGGGTACGAGGCCTTCGCTCTCCCCATCTACCTCTGCTGCCTTGGACGCTGCTGCTTTTGGATGTTTAGTTCGGGGACGTTCGCTTGCCTTTCCTTCTCCGCACGCCCCGCCACCATTTATCTCCTCCTGCACCTTCGCTTTCTCACTCAGACGAAGTGATCCCATCGCTCGCACTTCTTCTTCTTCTTCTTCTTCTTCCTCTTCTTCTTCTTTTGCTGTTTCCCTATCTGTCTCTGTCTGTCTAGTCTTCTGGGGCAAATAGATGGTCACGGTCTCCCGCAGTTCTCACACCGCCAGGAGTATGGCCATGCCGCCTCTCGCCTCGCTCGTCCTGCTCCTCGCCGCCACTGCGGCTTCCCTCGCTTCCTGCTCGGTCATCGTCAAGACCCTGCCCGGGTACTCCGGCGAACTTCCGTTCTCGCTCGAAACCGGGTGAGCTGCAGATCGCAGATTTTCTCGCTCTCGCTCTTCGTTCTTGTTTCCCCGAATTCCCATGAACAGTAAACGGATGAGTTCATTGTGGTGTGGGGTTTGTGTGTGTGTGTGTGTGCAGGTATGTGGGAGTAGGGGAGGACGAGGTAGTGCAGCTGTTTTACTATTTCGTGGAGTCGGACAGGAATCCTTCCGAAGACCCGCTTCTTCTCTGGATCGAAGGCGGCCCCGGCTGCTCCAGCCTCGGCGGTTTCTTCTTCGAAAACGGTGCGCGCGCTCTCTCTCTCCCTCTCCGATCGAACCATGCTCGTGAATAAAACCAAGTTGTTCCCGCAATTCGACACTTAGTCTACGAAATACTACATTGACTACAAAGGAAAATGTCATGGTGCACGTGTTCATGAAAATGCTAGATGTAAATTGAAAATCTCATTAAAATCTCCTTACTGAGTGACGTGGCAAGTTTCGATTGGGTAGCGCCACAAACGGAGCCAATTGAGTTTAAAAAGGTTGGCTTATTTAAACAGCCAATAGAAAATTGCCACATTATTCATAGCATAAGTTTTTGTCAGGATAACTAGATTTTGAGCCGAACCGTTCTTTGCCTGACGAACATAATTTAAGGAGAGAATCGTGTGTAACCGTGCGAGCGTACATTAAATTACACTGAAGTTGGCTCTCTTGTCGGCGAGTCAAGTGATTTGGATAAATGTAGTACGTGTATAATAGTTCAAGAATTTTTTGTGATATACAGATTATTTTATAATAAATATGATATGAGCGTACCAATTTAGAATAGCTTAAATATCGGGAAAAATACACAACCGTTGGCTGGTGGCCCAAAACAGATAAAAAGGAAGAAGTGAATATTTGCTCCGAGAGAAAGGGACAGCCATATTTAAAAATGTTCCCGTACATCACCGTATATTATCCATAAGTCAAAATGTATAGTTGACCATGAATTTTGAAAACCCTGGACCCCCAACCTGGTCTACGAATCCTAAGTTCATCTAAACCATGAATTTGATGGGTTGGTGGAATTCACCAGAAGTTCAATGATTCGTATGTATTTGGATGTGTGCACTCGGCATGTTTAGTATACCGATGTGTATACTACCGAATGCGTCATTTAGTATGTCTACTCGATCCATCCTATTTGACAGGCACACGGTGTCGACCCGGCACATAAATTTAAATTCACATAAATCACGTTGGTGCATGAAATTGATTGGATTTGACTATTTAAACGTAGATTTGACGTAGAGGCTCAATGCGTATGCCATTATTGCGAGCAAACTCTGTCTATAGTATTTCTACTTGACCATGTAATTTTGTTGTGCTTAAGGAAGAAACCACCAGAAGTCAGGCAGCGCTGTCTTTTCTCAGTACAACAACCAGCACTTGGTTGAAAGGTTGGTAGAGAAAGTACAGAAAAGATTGCCATTTTTGGACCGATTTTTAAGGTGTCTAAACTAAGTTTTTTGTTGGCGAGAGAAGGTGTCAAGCTACTTAACGCGTCAATTAGAGCACTGCACGGACCGATACATCCAACACCTTTCTAGTTATTCCTGAATGTCCCGGATAACACGAGACCTGAGAAGTTTCACATTTGTTTCTCTAAGTGGGGTGACAGAGACTCCCTTGAACTTAGGTTTTCGCAAGATACCGTAAATCGAAATTATTATATTACGAGTCATTCACATCGAATATTTACTTGATATTTATATTTTGTCTATCAATGTGATTGATTGTTATATTAATTATGTCCGAATAAACATAACCGGTGATCGGGCAGCGGATTGGGCCGCCAAAGCCCGTGATGATGATCAGGGTCTCCATCCCAATTGGGTTCTCTACCCTCCTTCAATCCACTGGGCCTTGCTTTGTCATGATGTTTCAAAGTTACTTAATGAAATGAGTATCCCTTTGTGACCAAAAACTCCAACAACAACATCAAACTTTCTCATGATCTTCTTTCTTCTCTGCAATTTCACAGGTCCACTGAATTTTCAGACCAGAGATTACAATGGAAGCTTACCCAGTCTCCATCCCAACCCATTCTCATGGACCCAGGTGCAAAGAACCCCTCGAACTTCCCTAATCTATTATCGGCTTCATACACACAAAGCGAACTGCATTTGTTCCTCCGACGAACCCTTTGATTGATGGGTCACACAAAGTTAGGGACATCGCTCGGGATTGTAGTTCCTTCTGAAATATAAGCACGGACGGCGTCCGTATCAGTAACCCCTCGATCGGGAAACATCGATCAAATCTCTAAATTCGATGTTGTTGTTGTTGTTCCCATGTTTCTTCTAGGGCATGAACATCATATTTTTGGATGCACCCGTGGGGACGGGGTTCTCTTACTCGACCACCACCGACGGCTACAATGTGGATGACTACTCCTTTGTGGCACAAAGCTACGAATTCTTGCGAAAGGTTTGGTTCTTATTTTGCCTATTTTTTTCATTTTTTATGCGTTAATACCTTGTCATTTTGATGAAATTTTTTTTAAGGGAAAAATGATACAAACAGTTCATAAATTTTGGCTCAATGTGCAATATGGTCCTTGAACTTTTAATTTGTTCATTTTAATCCCTGAACTTTAACCTAATGTGTAATATGATCGTGAACTTTTAATTTGTTCAACGTCATCTCTCAACTTTTGATACATGTTCAATTTAGTTCCTGAATCATATAAAAATATTCAAATTTAGTCCTTCCATTGAATCAAGTTCAAGGACTACACTGAAATATTTACACATAGTTCGGGGACTACATTGACCATGTACCAAAAGTCCATAGACCACTTTGAACAAATTAAAAGTTCATACATCACATTGAACATTAAGCGAAAGTTCAGTAATCACATTGAACAAATTAAAAGTTCAGGGACCAAATTGCATATTAGATCAAAATTTACGGACTGTTTGTGTCATCATCCTTTTTTATGAAGTGATTTTCACTTTCGTCCTTGGGCTTGCTATGGCACAGTGGTTGGTGAATCATACGCAATTTTTGGAGAACCAATTCTACGTGGGGGGCACCTCTTATTCCGGAATGGCTGTTCCTATGATCGTGGAAACGATCTTGGAAGGTAAGCCATCCATCATTTTTTAATGTATTTATTGTATAGTCCATGTATTTTTATCTGAAAAATCAAAACCGTCATTCTGTATTTTTTTTTAAAATTTTACATTAAGGGTGCGTTTGTTCCGCGAAAAATGAATGATTTAATAAATATTCTCCTAAATATAATCGCTCAAATCGCTTGCAAAAATGAACAAACAAAATTTCTTTTTATTGTCCGCAAAAATGTTCAGATATAAATTGCCGTCTAAGTGATCATTTTTAGAAAAATGTTTTACAAATCATTTATTTTTCGTGAAATAAACAAAACCTAAATCCTCCCTTTATTTTTTTTAAAATGTCACCAGCCATCCTTAAATCGGCACCCAACCCAAACCCAACCCAACCCAACCCACAAAAATCTAAGACACCAACAATGCATAACCTCTAATTTGTAGATAAGTCGCTCATTATTTTTCATTCGTTCATTTTTACGAGGGATAAAAATGATCATTTTTAGCTAAACGTTATCATTTGTTTTCCGCAAAATAAACGGAGCCTAAACGCAGAAATCTGCCCGCTCACGGTAATGACTTTTGTTTCGTCTATGTTATATAGGAATTGCAGCCGGGAATGAGCCAACTATCAACTTGAGGGTTTGAATCCTTTTGCCAGCTTCATTTCAATTTAGATTCTGCTTACCAATCTTCTGTTTCATGAAAGCTAAATCCAATTCTTTTGGTGGTGAATCGTTAGGGTCTCTTGATGAGCAACCCGGTGACGGATGCATTCATAGACGATAACTCGAGAGTCGAATATGCTAACCGGATGGCGCTCATTTCAGACCAGCTTTACGAGGTAAAAACATGTTGTTTCCACAGCTACTCATCGACGGAAGTTAATCACGCAGTCGAGTCGAGTGCGTTGATCCGGCACATGCATGATCCTTTTTGCTAAAGCCGATACTAACCGGGGTGCGCGATGTTGTGATCCAGGCGGCCAAAACAAACTGCAATGGCGACTATGTGAACGTCGACGATGACAATGTTCAGTGCATCGTAGATATAAATGCCATCGACGAGGTATGACTCAAACCTTAAAAGACACAAAAAAGAAGAAGAAGCAATTGACATGTTATGTCCGTATATACACTGTTTTTGCATGCTTTCGCCGTGTGTGCGTACATGAAAACACCTCCTTTTATTTGAAAAGTTCGCAATTTCTGTCACGCAGAAGAAATAATTTACAATTAATCCCCTGCACGAAGGATATTCAATTCTAAAACGTTCAATTTGGTGTTCGTTGGGACGCAAATCCGGTCAGGCTAACTTTCCGATCGGAGGAGCGATCGAATTTGCATTACGAAACACGAACGGGAGGGGGGGCGGATGGTGAATGGTGAATCTTCCCTAGGAATGGAGGAAATTATGCGGTTTACCCTTAAACTCTGTGGTGCATCTTGTGATTTGCAGCTCACCAGCCAAATCCTGACGGTCCACATCCTGGAGCCGGATTGCAGCAACGCCCTGCCTGATCCACAAGACGACGCTTCCCTCCGAAGATATCTCCGGGAAAATGCCACGGCCAAGTCCACGGACCATCCCCTCCATGGGCCCGCACTCTGGTGTCGTGTACGTCTCTCTCTCTCTCTCTCTCATTTCGAACAAAAAATAGCGATACCGTGCTCGCTAGATGCATCAGATCGATCTAGGACTAATACGAGTACATTCGGTTACCATGAGTTAGGATCATTTCACTTTGCTGTGAGCATTGCTGGGCTAGTTTCTTCTTCTGATCTGCTTTTGTGATGATCAGAACTACAACCACATGCTCTGCTATATTTGGGCGAACAATAAAAGCGTTCAAGAAGCGCTTCATGTCCGACCGGTATGTCTCAACATAAGATGCTTTCTCATTAACAAACATCCATGTACACACCTTCGCGCATGCACGCACTCGTTCTCAGCAATACAGTAGTTCGATTGATGCCCACGTTCCATCATCGAACACTTCTAAATTTACCATGCCATGATCCGGCGTCCAACCTAAACATGCTGGAATTTCCGATGCATGTGTATGCATGTCGCTGAGCAGGGGACAACGACCTACTGGCCATACTGCAACATGACATTAGCTTACACGAAGGTCGTTAGCAGCGTCGTCGATTATCACAAAAACCTCACCAAGGCAAACGTACGGGCTCTCATCTTCAGGTACCGAATGGCATTTTCTTTTCATGTTTCGTTATCAAGAACGCCTTCGGATTTCGAATCCCTCTATTACTTTTTCACTTCACTGTGTCTATAAATTTGTCATTCTGGTGCAGTGGGGATCATGATATGTCAATCCCGCACATCGGTACTCAAGCCTGGATAAACGCTCTGAATCTGACTTTAGATGAGAGTTGGAGGGTGTGGTCTGTGGACGGCCAGACAGCAGGGTATGTCCTTCAAATTTTTCTTCAATTTCCTGGCCTCATGCACGCAAGCGCCGTGTGCCGTACATAAGAATATCGAAGTACACGAGCATACTCTCTCAACGTAACCTAATAACTGGGGCACTTTTTGACATGTTTCCTCTGCAGATACGTCAAGACGTACCTTAAGGATGATTATAGCCTGACGTTCACCACGATCAAGGCAAGAAAAAACCCCCCTCACTCAAATCTTCTTGTGTCATATAATGCTCAATTGAAAACACACGAAGCATTCAAACATGAACTTACTTGACTTCTCGGGGTGTATCGTACAGGGAGCAGGACATTTCGCGGCAGAATACAAGGTCAAGGAGTGTTTTCACATGGTGGATAGATGGATGGCTTACTACCCCTTGTAAAAGGAATATCAAGCCTAGGAGACACTTTGAGCTCAACAGTATTAGCAATCACTGCTTTTCTCGTGCAACGCCATGTTTTGACGGGATGATTGTAGCTCCTTTCTGCTGATATTAGAGGAAAATAAAACTACTCTGATGAATGATCTCGCAAGCAATTGTCGGAATAGATTGTTGGTTTCTTTGCCGCAACATGAGGCCAAAAGGGTCCATAAGTAAGCTGAACAAATAGAGCACATACCACACGCACTTGAAGTAGAATGCTCCATGCTACTGCAAAAGACAATTTCTGACATCGCTGTCAACTCTACGAGCAGGAACAGAGGCAACTTCCTAGTTTTGCAACTTCAATATGCAACAGAAGAGTCCTAAGCCCTAAATTATGAGAAGATTCTAAATAATGAGAAGTTTTGGTGCACTATCAGAAACAAAGTCATCTGAATTATTCCCAGAACCAGACAGTTGCCAATAATTTTAACACACTAGGCAAAAAAGGGCCTGCAAGTAGACACATGCATACAGCCAGAGTGTATACCCCCCCCCCCGGGCAAAAATAAAGGGAGAGATCCAGTATTTTAATATACATTTTCTTTTTCTGTACAAAAGGGTAAGGAGTAGGAAAGGAAAATATCCACTTTTATCTTCAAAATGTCGGCCAACACAACCAGAAATTTGATACTACTCTAATGCCTATCGAAAATGAGAAGCCAACTGAAGTTATTGTTACTTACCTTCGAAAGAGCAACCATGTTAAAGAAGTGTAATTTCCACTTTGTGAATTATTACCATAAGATTCGACCAACAAAAAAAATATTACCACAAGCATATAGAACATAAAAGAGATTTGGCATACAGATATACATAGCCATCCGTATGATACAATAGGATACCGCACCACTAAGAAGTTTTCATCTATCTGACTTTAGCGAGCTTAAGAAATCCATAATGCATGTGCACTAAAAGACACTGGGTGTTCTAGACTTTCACAGCCAAATCATCAACTCAGGCACTCCAAGAAAATACGTCTCGGTAAAGAAATCTCACAAACTCAAGTCAAGTCAGCCTCGCTGACAAGATAAAACAGATGGAGGAATAGAATATTTAAGACTTGCATGACAATGTAGGCCATTGATGCACATTCAAAAGCCAATAACATGATTATAGCAGACATAACATTGAATTCGAGCAAGCCACACCAACAGTGACAATGAACCAAACAAAAGTCAAACATCTTGTATCACCAGTGGTAGGACTCATCAGCAAAAAGAAGCCGCCAACTTCCCGGTCTTAATTTAAATGACCTCAAAGTAAGGATAAAGTGGAAAAGGCTTCACTTACAAACAGATGCCAATGCAGAAAACAGGAATGGTGATATCTCTTGCAGTGATATTCAGACAATTTCCATATCTGATCCATAGGCGTCATAGCTAGATTAAGTTTGTCCAATCACACCTATAGGTTACACATAAGTGATATAATATGCTTCAGAAGTTTCATGTCGAAACAAGTTTTACAACTCACAGAAAGGGAAACTCAAAAGCCAATTGTGGACAGTTGAACTGCCCATAAGTAGAAAAGATGCTTAGGGCTCACCCATTTTGATGAAAACAATCTTCTGCTACAGTAGCCCAAACATAGCAGAGCTTACGTCGGTACTTGTTTTAAAAGAGGAACCATTGAATCCAGAACATTAATATTTTCAAAAGTGGAAAAGCATAATGTCTGAGATGATATAGAGTAAAAACACCTCAAGCTTTAGTATCTATGCAAACATTATCTATATAGGAGCACAACAAAGTAAAACATTACTGAAATAACAAAAAGAAAAATCAACACTTATGCGCATGCACTTTTCGCTTTAAATATTGCAAAAGAACCACACCTTATTCTCTCAGATTTTGTGCACTATGGTTCTAACCACCAAAACAGGACATCTGTAGTTCTTTGCCCCTTCCTGGCTTCATCACTCAATCATCATCAAATAGTTAATACTCAGGAAGTCAAGATGCACCGAAAGATCAGGACACGACAAACTTCACAGCCAGTCATCTTACAGTTCAAACACCTACTCAAGAAGAGCATTCTGTGTACGAAAAAGCAGAGGAAACAAATCAACTCCAGGAAGGAAAAGAGGAACAAATGACGATATCATCTTATCTAAAAGCTTCGGCACAAATAAATTAGTCTAGTGAATTCATTTGTTTCAGCAGCCCTCTAAGAAAGGGATTTTTGTTGAAAGGATTGGGATTTTGGATTGCCGTCCTTATCCCTCCCTGAAAAGAAGAAAGACAAATGAAATAGAGACCCAGCAAAGCTTACAATCAAGTGAGATTGTTATAGCAGCAAATCTAGAGACAACTCCACGATGACCTTGGCCCTCAGCTAGATGGAGAAAGCAAAATGTACATAGAAAAATCCCTCCAAATGGATCATCGTAGACATATTTCATTCTCACAAATAAAAACACTTGCATTACATATATCATGGCCATCGACGGGAGAGAAGAAAATACCATCATCACCGGAGGCACTAACACTGCTTCAAGCCACATATATTACATTACGTTGAAGCGCGGAAAACTGAAAGAAACTTGCAGATTTACAAGATCGTAAATATCAACAAGGAAAGCAATTTACATCAAACAGGAGCTAATGTCTCGATAAATTCATAAGCATCAAGCCACCCATATTGTAATGAGCCATATCCTTTAGAATGATCAGCTGGTATCTCATAAAGCTTCCTGAAAGTCTTGTCACCAACATTATATGTCAAGATTTTACCTGGCAAATGAACTAACAGCGATGACTCCTCATCGTTTCCTTCTCTGACCAGATGAAGCATAACAAACGCATAATAATTCATATAGCCAGGATCCATGTAATCCCGCACCATCTCCGGGAAAGCACTCACGATAGAATCAAGTTCCACATGATATTTAACAAACCACCCAGAATAATCCTTTTCCAACTCGAAAATCTTAAATTGAGCAGTCCGTGACCCATAAATCTCAAAAAAATGCATATGCCCACGAGACTCCCCAAAATATCTGAACCTCCGACTCCCCCGATTCTCCGAAATGGGAAGTCTTGGCATCGTCCCAAACTGCTCTTTCTTGACATCAAAGCACAGGGAAGCCCCCGTTGGGCTAATCCAATGAATACCACCATTCCAACAGACCCCATTGTCAAACACCATATCGAACGGAGCGACAAAAGGAGACCCAGAAAGCCTCCACCCGCGGTCTCGAGACGAGTAAATCTCAATTTGATAATAGAACGCGGATTCGACAGTGCTTCTAACGCAAACGACATCATAATGAGACGATTTAGAAGGGTCGAAGGCCAAACTTACTCCATAAACAGTAGAGGCACAGGAGGAAGCACCCCCCAACTGGGGAAGCATCACGAACTGCCTCGTCGTCGGATTAAAGACGTAGTAATTACGCTGACACCCGATCTTGCGGAAGCTGCAGCACAGGAGCAACCCGCCGCAGGACTGCAAGATCTTCAGCCCCGCAGGGTCGGGGGCGAAATCGAGGCAGTTGAACGGACACCCAGAAAGGGAACCGCCGCGCAGCGGCAGGAATTGGTGCTCCGAGGGGGTCCGGCGCAGCAGGACGCCGGAGATCCCGGAGCCGGCGTGGAGCCGGGCGTGGCGGCGGGCGAAGTGGGGGCCGGAGATGACGGACCGCCACCGCCGGGAGACGCACTTGAAGCGGGCGAGGGACCTGGCGGGCAGGAGGAGGAGGATCTCGGAGACGAGATCCTCGTTGCCCGCGATGATCTCCGCGGCCGAATTGCCCTGCACCCTCATTTCAAGAAAAGGGTCGGAACGCCCTGCACGCAGAGAGAGAGAGAGAGAGACAGACAGACAGACAGAAAGGGTCTCTTGCAAGAACATCAGCGGGGCACTTTCATTTCAAGAGGAGGGTCGGAACGCTCTGCACACACGCAGAGAGAGACAGAAAGGGCCTCTTGCAAGAACATGAACGGGGCACTTTCATTTCAAGAAAAGGGTCGGAACGCTCTGCGCGCGGAGAGAGACCGAAAGGGTCTCTCGCAAGAACATCAACGGGGAGCTTTCGTTTCGAGAAAAGGGTCGGAACGCTCCGCACGCAGAGCGATCTTGCGCGAACATCAACGGGGGAGACATTGGGGGAGAGGGAAATAGTAAAGAGCATTCATTGGGAAAGAACCAAAAGGGAAGCGTGCGATTGGCGGAAGGATTCGCTGTCACCGGGGGAATTTGGTGCGGTGGGGTCCGCTGTCGAGCGTGACGGGAGCACTGTGGATGATGGATGGGGGCTGCTGCTGGTGCTGGTGCTGCTGCTGGTGGGCGGCCAACCCCCAAAAAATAATCTCTTGAAGATTCAAAGCGAGTTTGATGAATATCGAATGCCCAGTTGCCCAACCAGCAGCGCGCCAAACCCGAGCCGGTCGTATTCGTTTTTTTTTTATAATTTTGCCACCTTTTAGAATTTCGTCAAACGCAACAAAATTAACAAAATATTATTTTATTAACGAGTGCTCTTCATGTTAGCCACGAAAACGGCACCCGAGATGTCCATAGAGGGAAAAGGTATTCACGCACCTAATTTGAAACACATCGTTCTTGATGCGGAAATCGTTTTTCCACAACTCAAGTGATTCTCCTCTATTGTCCTCTGTATCACCGGCTCAATGAGACTGCCTCTCGATGCAATTTTGTATTGCTCATTATGGGAGGTTATTTGTGCGTCATGATTAGAGAAGAGACTTGAATACTACTTATAGAGTTTTCAGCCACGAACGCTCTCTCACAGGTCGGACTTTACTCGACCCACACCAGCTAGTCTCATATTAGACCAATTAAGAATCTTGATATCTTACCTTATTTGACCAACCCTTATTATACGTGGATACCCAATAAGTATGTAAAAACTAGTATGATATTTTAAAATACTTGACATGTAAGATAATAATTGAAGTTCATAGTGGAAAATTTTAAGATTTAGTTTAAATAAAAATGAGATTGAAAAGATTAACGATAGAAACATTAGAAAATTTATTTGGATTTTTATAGCAAGGTGTGTTTTACCATTTGAAATTTGAATTACAATGGTGAATGAGATATAAGTTGAAGATAAAAATGTAGTGATATTGATGTGCAATTATATGAGTGATTATGAATTTTACGGATGATAATTAGAGCAC